AGACAAGTTCCTGCTGAACTCCCACACCCCTGCCTACAAAAAGTGCTTCTGCAGCAGTTGGCACAAAAGCTTAACCTAACTTATTATGACAATTTTTCTTACAATACAACAACGAAATATAATCAGTCATGACTCATGAGTGACCCAGGTTTGTTATAACAAGTTTTACATTAGCAACCAGTGGCCTAACATAACTCTCCTGTACCTGCACTTGGGACTGGCTACATTTACTTGACAAGCATGACAGTCAAATTAAAATAACCCAAGAAATAATATGACAATTTAGTACTCACAAATCACAACAAAACTTATAAACGAGGTAATTGAAGCTGCAAATACTATATCTAAGTGATGACAAAGGACGCATACATTAAGGATGACACCAATGTAGTCTTAAGATTCTTCGTCATTACTTATACTTGCAAATCAATGAACACACTAAACCATTGATATCAATCAAAAACAGAAGGTGCAAAACATTATCACACAATATAACTAATCCAAGCATTCTAAAATTCTAATCTGCGGGGGCATTTAGTAGAAGGAAAAATATTCCATACCCAGGAATATAAATCCTAAAAATCAAGATTCCTATAAATGATTAAAATGTTTTTGGCAGGTCATAAATGTTTTTAAGAATGTTCGTATAAGTTACTTGAGAACCAAAGATCTTTACCGCATTAAATAAGCAAATAAAAGTAATGTGATATTTTTACAGCAATAAAAAATTATTTTTAACTTGGATATGTTAGATTCCCATCTCTCCTTGGAAAACAATTTTATGGGAAACCTGTGCAAAAAAATTCAAGGGTTTGTTTGGTTTCAGAAAATGTTTTCTATTTTCATTCTCTGAAAATAAATTTCATTTTCAAAATTTTAAATTTAGAAAACATGTTTGATTTCACTTCTTATTTTCTGGTTTTAGAAAATGAAAATATGGGAAATGTGTTTGTTTTCACTGGAGCCTTGTCATGTTTATTCTTCTGTGTCCATCCCCAAAAACATGAAGCATTAGAACAAGGGTTGATGTATACCCATTATTTTTTTACGGTGATTTCCTATTTCTCTCTTCCTATCTCTATATTTCTATTTCACCTCCAAAGGTTTTCCTATTGCTTGAAATTTAATCCTCAAAATAGCAAAGCACTTTAGTGGTTTGATTCACTATACGGTTTGGATTTTGGGATTAAAATGCAGAAGAAGCTGACCAGAGTTTTAGTAAGAAGAGATACTCGCCATTTTCAAGATTATGCGCAAACAAAAAAAATTGAAATGAAAGTTAGTCTGTTACAATTTTGAAGATATTCAATTTTTGGATTATGTGTAACCAAAATAGAACAATAGATGACAAAGGATTACACAAGGTCTGAAAAAAAAATCAGATAACTACCCTTGTGCCACTACATTTTCAAGGGTGCGTTTCCAATCTTTATGAAAACACTGAAAATGATATTTTTTGTTCAGTTTTGGACTTCTTTTTCAAAATATTTCCAACAAAAATGTTTTCAAAAACTAAAACAAACATATTTTTAACACTGCTTTCTGTTTTCACTGGAAATGGAAATAGGAAATGAACAAACCAAATCTTCAGATTCTTGAGAAAATAAAAACTTTCCATGTAACAAACACACACTAAATATTATAATTAACATCCCTAGAGCTTATTCGGAAGAAGAAAAAAAAACAAAGACATGCAGTATAACAATATTATTAAAAAAAAACATATATATGAAAAATAAGAAAAAGAATTCATCACCATCATCTTCATCATCAGTGTCCCAGTAAGGAGGAGAGGTAGACGCAATTCCATTCTCCACCTGCTCCGAAGACCGCCATTCTGCCAATGCTTCTCCAGATTGAAAACGCTGCCCATTTGAAATTCCCTCCACAGACTTCCCCACTCCAGACTCCTCACTCACAGTCCCAGCCATTCCCTGGTCAAGAAATATTTCACTAACACTCTTCTCAGAACGCCAACTGAATAAGAATCACACAAACAAAATCAAAATCAGCCCTTAAACCCCACATTACATTAAGAGACAGTAAACCATTCCCAATAATAATAAATAAATAAATAGAGTATCCATTTGCAACTGCATCTAAAATGTCACAACATATAACCACAGTTGATAGTCATACGCCAGTCACATTGTCAAGGAAGACAGAAGGTAACAGAATAAATTAAATATGAAAAAAACTGATAATCGACCAATTGAGAACCCGATAAAATAAACTCACCCCTTACCCAGAACCGATATTAATTAACCTAATGAAACGCTACCTTCCCCAATGTCAATTCCTCCCCAAAATTATTGAGAACTGAACACAAACTCAAACCAAAAACCCCAATCACCAATTAAAAAAACTAAAAACAAACGATTTGAAATAAGACTGAATTAAAAATAAAAGAAGCACGACGAGATGACAAAACCAGCTCGACGAAGCCGAATTGCATGAACCCCAGAAATTGAATATTCCATGAAAAAACCAACGCCGGAAAAAGAAAAAAAAAAAAAAAAAAAAACTAACATCCTAGTAGTAATTGGGGGGAGCCGCCGAAAAAAAGTGATTGATCAAAATCTAAGAAATGGCGGAAGAGACAATAAAAGAAGAAGATTGAAGAGGAAAAGGAGATGGCGTGGATCGTTGAGGAACAGACGAACCTGGAATGAAAGAGCAGTCAAAAGGGCACAATCGGAGCCCTCAGATTTTAGAGAGAGAAAGACGAAGTAAGAGAAAGAATGAAAGGGTTGAGCAGCAACACACAGCAAAGGCGTAACCCAAAAAAAAAAAAAAGAATAATGGCATTAAATTTTTATTTTTTTTAATTTGTTTTTTTGTTTTAATTTGGATGGTTTCCTACTTTCCTTTTAATTCTGCTGCAATCCAACAGATTCCCTGCACAATAACCCTAACCGCCACATTCTTTTTCTTCTCCTTGTCTAATCTTATTTATTTTGGCTAAACCTAAAGTTCTAGAATTTTTTTTTTTTAAGGTGAGTGTCAGATATTAATTTCTAAAGATACCTTGATCATATCCTTAAAAAAAAATTACCTGAATCACTTCTGAAAATAATGTTATATATATATATATATATATAAGAGTTTAAATAATATTGGTGTAGTTCTTACTAAATATGAATTTTATAAATTTAACTATAAATTAAAAGTTCTATATTCTTTAATTATATATATATAATTTTATATTAATTTAAAATGATTTGTATTCTTATAAAATAAAATTGACATAATATAATATTTTAAAATATAATAAAATATGAATATTTTAATTATCTTCAAGTTATTGTTTAATTTTAACAAAATTTGATATAAACATATAAAGTGATATGATATTATAATTTAATAATTAAATTTACAAAATTTACATTTAATATAAAATTATTGAGCGATATAATACTTAAAAATTACACCAATATCATTTAAATCTTTCTTTTATATATCAATGAAACCCTAAATACAATATCATTTAAACCCTAAATATCAATGAAACTAAATATTTTATTCTTAAATACAATAAATAAATAAAAAGTATAGTGTGTCTAAAATATTTTTTATTATTATATTATAAATATAAAGTATTCATTGATAACGAATCCTTACTAAATAACTTGATTAACCATTTTTAGTAAAAAAAAATCATTTTAATTGTGTTTTTTTATCGATAATACTTTAATTTCAAACCTTTCTCAAGTTTACGTATCAAGTTCAAGTTTTTATAAGTAAAAGATAATTAAATGTTAAAATATTTATTCCTATGAGTAAACTCATTGAAATTAGTAAGAATTAGTGAATAATTAATATAATTTTTAAATATTGAGAATCGATTATAAATATAATTGTTTGTTTACTAAAAATTTAAATTGTAATATCATTTTAATATTTAAATGAAGTGGAAGTGATTGGCTTCATATAGCGAAGATGGGTGATATGGATACAAAGTCGGAGAATTTGTGATTAATTGTGTTTTTGCCTCACTTGTTTTCATACAAAGGTTAGGTTGGAAAGCTTAGAATGTCTCCACCTAGGAAACAAAGTCTAATTGTTAAATAAATCAACTTTTAAATGTATGGTTCTAATATTTTTCTTTTTCCTTATTTACCCTTCATATCACTCCTCCAATACTACTGATATAAATTCACTCCACTTATATTAATCTCCCTTTTGGCCTTTGTTAGTATCATAACAAACAACCATTGAATCCCAATGCGAACAATATGATTTTATGATAAGAACCTTGAACAATCATACTACAAAAGCTTACTATTATAGTTAGAGTTCAATGCCTTATAATACACATTAGAATCTCATATTTCTAAATTACATCTTAATAGTTCATGATACTGATTAATAAAAATATTGGGAGAATCATAACAAAGTTAATTATTATAGTTAATTATTATAGTTGGAGAGTCAAAAGTTTTATAAACCTCATACCAAAATCTCATACTCTCAAACGTAAGATGTAAGTCATATATCTTGTAATTTTTTATGGTACCGTATTATTTACAAGTAATCCTCTTTTGGCGATGATTCTCAATATGAACTTTACTTATTATGTTCCTTAAATTTGTTAAGGATAATATACACAAAAACATACACACTCATAACAAAAAATAAATAATAAAAACTGAGTAAAGAAAAACTTTATTCTTACATTTATATATTATACATGATTGTTCATCCTTCTTATTAATGAACAGTAATATAAACATATATTTATATAATACATTAATAGATGATACAAACATATAATATTGATAACTTAAAATACACAAATGATACGTATAAACTATACTATGAAATTATATCACTAAATGATACATGTATATATTAAACACATAGATTATACATATAAAGACTAAACATTTAAATTATAATATTGAACAAAATTTACTTCACATGTGACATTGCACCCAAGATGTTTGCAACAAATCACCTCCAACTTGGGGTCGTTGCCGCACCTACCAGAGGTGTTGAAGTTTGTGGTGATTCTGGTGGCTATGCTACGAGGGTTGCATTGCAGCCAAAATGCAAACCCCCTTCCTCCTTCTTGATGAACATCAGCCAAGAGCAAGAGAGAAAAGAAATAGAAAAGGAAACAAAATTGAAGAAAAAAGGGGAGAAATGATAATACTTGACGGTCGATTTAAAAGGTGAAAATGTGAAATATAAGTTATGAGCAAATCAGAAAAATGACTTTAGAATGCCTCTAAAATTAATTATAGAAGTAAACAAGGGATGTTCGGAATATGTAGAACTCACATTTAATAGACTTATAGCCTAACTTGTTGTCTTTCATTTTGTTCGTTTTCTTGTTGACAATAATTCATTTATATTTATACCCCACAAAAAAGCATCGTTGCTTTTCCATTTGAAAGCATCGATACATGTGCTGACATAAAGAACAATCACACACTTCTCCCATCGATACAAAGTATTTATACTTTGTATGTTCAAGGAAGAATGAAACACACAAATACATCCATATAATTTTATATTTACATAAAGTTTTAAGAATTTAACGATCATAAATTAACCATATAAAATAATTTAGGGTTAATAACATATATAATTACCAGAGATGATGAAAGTTACTGTATAGGAAGTGAGAACATAAAATTATTTTAAATTTAGACTTCATATGTTATTAAATATATGACTTTTCGTATACAGTTAAAATATGAAAGTGATATGATATTAATTAAGAGATAAAATAGATCACGGATTATGAATAAAAAAATAAATATATTCGTTATAATAGTTATAGATTTAACTATGAATTAAAAAAAGTAAATCTTTTTTCTAGCTCTTAATCTCCCTTAAAAAGGGATGTTGAATCAAATATAGTTGATGAAAAACTTTTAAAATATTAATGAAAAGGGAGAAAAGTAACTTTATATATATATATATAAACAACACCGGTGTAACTTTTACTAAGTGTTACACTGCTCAATAACTTTATATTAAATGTGAATTTTGAAAATTCAACCGTTAGATTGAAAGTTCATATCTCTTAGATCATATATGTCAAATTTTATATTAATCTAAGATGATTTGATACTTCATTCTCATAAAACAAAATTGACGTAATATATACATTTCAAAATATACTAAAATATGAACACTTTAATTACCTTCAAGTTGTTGTTCAATTTTAACAAAATTTGACATATATGATCTAAGATATATGAACTTTCAATCTAACGGTTGAATTTTCAAAATTCACATTTAATATAAAGTTATTAAGCGGTGTAACACTTAGTAAAAGTTACACCGGTGTCGTTTGAACCCTCCTCATATATATATATATATATGAGAAAAGATCCATTTATTTCAAGAATAAGTCTATTTATATTTACTCAGTTTAATAACTCATGTTAGTGTTAACATTAACGATTTACTTTTTCTCTAATCCATAATTAATAATTGTAGAATAAAGAAATATTTTTAATTTTTTATTTATATAAATTAGAAAAATTATATTAAATGAAAGTGATTTTTGAGATTATTTTTCAACTTAAGTGTTTTTAAGAGTTGAAAAAGTATACTTAAAATTAAATTAATATTTTAGTTGTATAAATACAAAATAAATATTTATATTATATTAAAAATTAAATTTGAATATTTTTAAGAAAAATATCAAAAGTTAGAACTTACAATAATATAATATTATAATTTAAATTATTTATCATAAATTTAAATATAAACTATAGCTTTAAAATTTATTAATAATTTAGTTTGTTATAATACACAAAACACATATTTATTTTATATAGTTAAAATTTATAATAAATAAGTATAATTTATATTATAATTAAAATTTATGATAAATAAATGTTATAGACATATAAATAATATTTTAAATTTATAATAAATAATTTATATTATGATACTATTCAGCGATTTTTTATTAAAATATTAAAAATTAATTTAAAAATAAAGATGAAAATGAAAAATTAAAAAGTTATGTAATTAACATATTAATCATATAAAAGTGAGAACAATTTCTTACAAACACTTTTTATTGAAGAATAGATGGAAAAACACTCTCATATAACATAGTTATTATAGACCATAGAGAGAGGATAAAAGATTTAAAAATAATTGTAATATAAATTTTATTTATTTATTTATTTATCACAAATTTTTAATATAATATAAATATTTATTCTGTATTTATGTAACTAAAATATTAGTTTAATTTTAAGAATACTTTTTATATTAAATTTGTCAACTAAAAGTCACTAGTTCAAATAGTTTGATATGTTGGGATTTAAATTTAGAAGCATTTTTAGAGCTCCTTTACAAAAAAAAAATTTCTTTATTTCTAGTAGAAATTCTCTAAAAAAAACGCTTATAGTTTGTGTCCAAATAAACTCTTGTACTCTTTAACCAAATATTGAAGTTTAATTTCCGTCTTGAAAATGATGTAGTTGCTGAAAATTTTAATTTACTACTAAAGGGACCGACTTGATGGAAACAAGTTATGTCTCTTTATTAAAAAGAATACTAAAATTGTCAAACAACTTTTATATTAGTGTTAAATGGCCAAAAAGCAGGAACCATCACTCCTAGGAGAGGGCTTCGACAGGGTGATCCACTCTCGCCATATTTATTTGTGCTCTGTATGGAGAGATTGGGTTTATTGATCACAGAGGCAGTGGAGGAAGGCTCTTGGTCCCCCTATAGGTTACGAGGTGGTCCTGCCATGTCGCACCTCTTCTTTGCTGATGACGTATTGTTGTTTACAAAAGCTACAACTTCTTTTATGCGTACTATT